CTCTCTCTCTCTCTCTCTCCCTCCTTCTTTCTTTCTCTCTCCCACCCCTCTCTCTCTCTCCCAAGGCAGGGTAACAAACGAAAAAGTCACCACTTTGTAACATGTATTACTGTTTGATTCTTCCTCTCCTTCTTTTTTTCTTGTTCTCCCCCTCTTCCTCCTCTAATTCCTCCTGCTCCTCCTCCTGCTCCTGCTCCTGCTCCTTCTTCTTCTTCTCCTCCTCCTCCTCCTCCTCCTCCTCTTTCTCCTTCTTCTTCTTCTTCTTCTTCTTCTTCTTCTTCTTCTTCTTCTTCTTCTTCTTCATTTCTCCTCCTCTTCCATCTACACCTACACCTCCTCCTCTTCCTCCTCCTCCTAAAGGCGCGAGACCGAAACCGGGAATTCCCGTAAACCTACTTTATGTACAACTGAACACAAAATACCCTTTGGTGCAGTCGGCACTCCGCAGTGAATATATACAATGTCGAAGCAAATGATGGTGATCGCTACAAAAGGACTGAATTTAACTTAAACTGGGCTTTCTTCTTACACATTTGATCTTAATGAAAATACAATAGTGCAACACTACGTTTCAAGTTATGGGTACTGGCAAAGTTTCATATTTTTTAATTTAGTAGTTTCTGAGAATATACTGTTCACAAAATTTGACCTTAGCTCCATTAGTAGTAAGATTATAGAGCTCTGCAGTGTTGGGGACTCTCCTGTGAAATGACTTTGCCATGTCTAGAGGGGCCTGTAACCTGTAACTTGTATAAGAAAAATAATTTGTATCTTGCAGCTGCAAGAAGAAATTTTCTACGACAAACTTTTGAACTTTTCTTCTAGTCTGTTGTTACAGAGCTGTAAATCATACTAATCATAGGCTGGGGTTCTTGTTGAATAGTCTCTTGCACAGTAAACCTCCTGTCACACTCTCACCATCCCAAACATATTTGTCAAATGATCCAAGATATTTTTATGTTTTTACCCCCCGCTTTTCTGCCCCCTTCCATTTGAGCTGTTCATTTTATACTCTTTGCTGCCTCTGTTTTGTACTTACTGAGACGTTTTCTTCATCAGATTGCTCTGAAGATCGTCCTCTGTTCTGTTCTTCTACGTGCTGCGCAAAAGATGAATATTGCGACTGGCCCAAAAGGAGCTGTGAGCCGTGTATTCCTGAGAGTCTGTCAACTGATTCTGTCAAAGAATGGTGTGCCAAGGAGTCGATCAGAAACCACATATCATGTGCTGCTGCCTGCAAGACCAACGGTGCTTGTGACAGTGGGGACAAACAAGGTAATCAGGAAGTCTTGGGGAGTGAGTAGTTAATGAAGTTAGATCGTCTTCTTCTCCTCCTCCTCTCCCTCTCTTCTCTTCCTCTTTTTCTCCTCCTCCTCTACCTTCTCTTCTATAGCTGCTGCTGCTTTTCATCAGAAGTGTAGTTAGCTTCATCACACTCCAAAGTCCTGACCTGTTTGTTGTGGTGAAAGCATTGACAAGTGAAGTCTAGTGGACAGGTATCTAAACAGTCTTAACTCACTTCAGACGGTTCACACAACAGTTACGTGACCCCCGCCACGACGCTCGTGACAGCTCCCACAAGTCCTGCGTGACCAACTTTGGAATTTTTTTTCGCTCTACAAATCACGCACGGATCGCGTGACCCGCCTCGTATCCTTGTTTGGCCAGGCCTTAGCTACTTGGACTTCGTTTCGTATCTCTGGGGCCGGTATTTTTTAAATTATTGAAGGTGAAGGACAGTGACCCCAACTGGGGTTGAACTCACCGGAACTCGCGCTTTGTTTTTTTCTATACAGCTGATAGTAATTCGACAGTCGCGTCGTAGTAACGGTCGAAGAAGTCGCATGAACAAGAATCACATAATTTCGCCGTTTTCGATACTTCTTTACGTTTTACTAGTTCTTGTGTCTCTGAATATGATGTGTCTGATAGTTAGGATCCTGGATATGTACCCGAACACGGCCCGAGTCGTAGTTTTAGGGCTAGATCTAGCACTAGGACTCGTGTTGTTCGCGCAACGAAATCACGTCGTGCCGTACATCTGTCTCATGTAATTCAGTGTATGGGTCTGAATCAACGCACTGACCAGCTTTTATATTTTCACCAAACACTCGCACATGTATACAAATCAAACCAGAACACTTTGAACTTTTATTTTTGTTGTTGTTGTGAATTTCATTCTACCTGTCACGTCTCTGGAAATTTTTCGGAAAATCAAATTCATGCCAATTTTTAAAAAATCATACAAATTAAAGTATTAGACTTAACTTTAGTTTTTTGTATTAGATTAAGCTTGAATGTGACTTTAATGTGTCAAAAAATAATTACAATAGGATAATTCTGAGAGTTGTGGTGATTTATTGAAATACTCCCAAAAACGCCAGTCTTCAACGCTTGTGACTGGTGAAAGGGCCCAGTAGTAAGTGAGTTAACCCTCCAAGCATCATTGACAAATAGCCTGTGGTGTCGGTCCAAGCATCATTGACAAATAGCCTGTGGTGTCGGTCCAAGCATCATTGACAAATAGCCTGTGGTGTCGGTCCAAGCATCACTGACAAATAGCCTGTGGTGTCGGTCCAAGCATCATTGACAAATAGCCTGTGGTGTCGGTCCAAGCATCACTGACAAATAGCCTGTGGTGTCGGGGGGTAATTATATGATTTCACCATACTGTCTTGGAAGATACTTGAGAACAGGCAAACCAAGCAAGTAAAGGCTATAAGCCAACCCATTTTCAGAGAGTAGAATGTAAAAAGGAAGTAGAGTTCATTTGTGAAGGAGTTGAATTGTTTGACAACGTAAAAAGAGTAGATAAATGAACTGAAATAGGGATACGACATACGGCCAGTTAAATCGGTGATGACATCACAGAACCAAACTTGCAACCAGTTTTATCAGCTGCCGACACTAGGAGGGTTAAACTAATTGCAGTAGAGAACACAACTGCTGTGTTATCTACTAACTACAGTCGACTCTGCTTATGTTGAACTCACTTTAGTTGATCTTCGGTTAAGTTGATCTTTTTCTCTGGTCCCAGCACCTCTCCTTCTTTACAGTTCCCAAAGGTTAAGGTGAACTTCAGATGAGTTGATCTATTTTTCACTCCCCCGAAGACATCAACCAATCTGTAGTCGACTGTAGTTTGATTTTTCTTCCAACAACAAGTGTAAACAGCAGCCTCAGTGATTGTGTGTTCTTTGTCAGATAACTAATGTTTATGTATTTGAAAGAGTTGTTGTACGTTGAATGGGCCGGTATGCATGAAACGTTGATTTATATTTTGTTTGATTGTGAAGCCGCGAGAGCCACCCGGGCGGGGGGCACTATGTTATAGGTGATCTTTATTATTATCTTTATTATTTTTATTAATATTATTATTATTATCACATTACTATCATTTATCATTATTATTATTATCGTAATCATTATTATTATTAATATTATTATTACTTTAAGGGAAGTAAAGTAGGCAAACCCCCAGGGGCGGTGCCACTGACTGTAGTGTCTTTAGGCCGTTCCCAAAGGGGGGACATTTCTCGTTCATGCACAGTAGAATTGTAAATGGGCTGATTGATCAATGTCATGCTCATAACTGTGCCTGATCTACAACAGGGAACTGCTGCTTTTTCTTTCCTAATTCTTACTATTGTCATTTTTCGTCTACTTCTTTTGTATGTTTGTCACACTCTTGTGACCCACTATTTCCGGGGTGCCTTAATAGTGTGGTGTAAGCGCACCTTAAGAATAGAAGGACATGTAGCGTGAACCCACTTAATGATAGTTGTTATGACGTAGGCCTAAGGGACATATCACGTGACTGAGACCTAATGTGATTTCGTGCAAGCGGCGGGAAATCTGAAGGTCACTCTCTCACTGAAGCCGAAACGAGTAACATCGGCTAACGAAGAACTAGCAGGTGGGGCCCCACTACTCCAAGACTCAAGTAAGTCGTAACATAACAGACTTTGTGCTGTTGAAGCTAGAGAGGTGAGCAGAGTAAGTCTGATTCCCTGTGACTTCTCTGTTGACATCCACCACTTGGCGCTCATATGACCTTATGCAGTTGCGAGTGCCGTACTAAAACTAAAAACTAAAAGTAGGCAAGTCCTTAGCATCTGAATACACGGCTTGAGTATTTGAAAAAATGATTTGTACAGTTGCAGAAGCGTACAATGTGCCAGATGTTGAGGCCTGATGTTGGCATGCCAGGCATAAAGAGACCGGGGTGTCCTTTGTCAGGACAGATTTTTGCAGTGCCGGTGCAGTTTACAGTCCCTGTTTTACACCGTTTGTGAGTCTAAAAGAAGTTTCCCCATAACTACACATCTTGCTTAGACTGATTGATTGTAATGGTTAAAAATGTTTTACTTATGTTCATATGATGTGATCGATGATGGATTGTTATTGTTAAAAATGTTTTAATCATGTTCATTTTTTTTATTCAGAGGAGACTGACATCGGTCAAGGTTGGATGATTGCTTGCACTGTTCTCATTATTGTTTTCCTCATGCTACTGATATATTTGGTGTTCAAGTCCTGTCGAGGTACGTGATATTACAGTGAGGTCCACTTAAACCGAACTCGATGAATCTGAAAACAGCGATAAACCTGGTGCGGTTTGCTCCTTTTTTCTATTTAAACATGTACCCTTTTTATCTCTCCTCTTTCTTTTATTTGTATGTTACTTTCTAGTAACACCTCTAATCTTCGGCATGTATGCGACCTAATTGTTTTGCAAGTGCTGCAAAACTCGTACTAAAAAATGTTTTTTTTTTTAACTTTCTGTCTTCTGTGAAAGATGTAAACACCCTCGGTGAGCTACATCAGCAAAAAACCTTGGTGTCATGTTCCATTTATTCCATCTCCGGTGGTTTACAGGTGGACTGAGGGTGGTTGACGGGTGCTCTGGTATGGTTTGCTTCTTCTTTCCTATCAAACATCTGTCATCCTTATCTCCCCTTTTTCTTTTGTATGTTTGTCACACTCTTGTACCTCCTCTAACCTTCTGGAGCTCATATGACCTTATGCAGTTGCGAGCGCCGTAAAACCTCTACTAAAACAAACAAGCAGGTGGACTAGCGGCATGTTGCTGCTATTTTTTTTTCTTATGTGGTTTTGATTTGAATTTTCCATCTGTAAAGAGTTGTATCTAAAACAAATGTTTGGGTTTTTAGGTTTTCTATCCGTCAATCCCCTAAAGAATCTGTATTGTTCCTATCATGAATCGGGGGGAAAAGCAGGAAAATTTTAAGCCTTGACCATAGCATTAAACTGCTTTTGCGTGATGTTGAAAGGTGCGTCATTGGTAGAGCTTCAAAAGGGCGTAAAAATTAAATATTAGCAAGGAAAATTTGGACTCAAGTGGATTGCTTGCTGCAGCGACGATGTGACAGCTTTCTTTGCAAGAGTGGGCTTTGAAGTAAGGTGTGGAGGGGGGGGGGGATGGGGGAGGTGGGTTTTAGAAGTAGAGAGTGAAGAACGGGGGTGTTAGTATTCCTTCTCATGTGTATCGTGCGTGGTTTT